TCTTCGACAGCTTCACGTAGAACTTGTTGTTCCACAGGATCTCGAACACCTTCCGCAGATGCTCCACGTGCTCCTTCATGTTCTTGGAGTAGATGAGAATGTCGTCCAGGTACACCACAACGCACTTGTTCAGCAGGGGTCGTAAGATGTGATTCATCTCCGTCTGAAACGTTGCTGGTGCGTTGCAGAGTCCGAACGGCATCACCAAGTATTCATAGGAGCCGTATCTGGTACGGAACGCCGTCTTGTGGATCGAGTTGTCCGCCATCTTGATCTGCTAGTAACCCGACCGTAGGTCGTCTATGCGCGGTATGGGGTATTTGTTTTTAACTGTCTATTTGTTCAGTGCACGGTAGTCGATGCACATCCGTAGACTGCCGTCTGGTTTTGGAGTGAAGAGGACTGGTGCACCGTAGGGAGAGGTGGATGGGCGGATCAGTTGTCTGTCCAGTAGATACTCTATCTGTTTCTTCATGTCTGTCAGCTTGGTCGGAATCAGTCGGTATGGTGCACGTGAGACGGGTTTCGCACCTGGTTCCTCCACGATCTCGTGCTCGTGGGTGCGTGCTGGAGGTACGCCTGCAGGTAGGTCGTCGGGCATTATATCCTTGAACTGCTCCAAGACCTCCTTCACTGCTGCAGGTAGCTCCAAACTCGGCTTCTCCTCCTCTGCTGCTGCCATAACCAGTGCTAAGTAACCCGTGTTACTTTCGTTCACTGTCCGTTCGAACCGTGCCAGTGTCGTTTCAGGAACGCTCCCTGTATCCGTCCAGCTTTGCAGCTCCACTCGTTTCCCGTTGTTGTAGATGCGCGCCTTCCTGTTGACCCAATCGATCTCGGGGTTGAACCGCTTCAGGAAATCTCGCCCCAGGATAAAATCTAAACCCTTGATGTTCGTGATCGGCAACGTCGGCTTCCACCTCAGCGCCCCTATGTGCAGCTGCAGTGATGCTTCGCCGTGGATGGGAAGTTTTGTACCGTCCACCATCGTTGCCGTGAACTTGGTCTCCTCCGAAAATTCTCCAATTTTCTCCAACGTCCCGCGGTCGCACACCGAGTGAAACGCACCGCTGTCCACCAGTGCCATGAGGCGTCGCCCGTTGTAGATCACCTCGAGTTATAGTGGTTGTTGCCGCTCCGAGTAACCATAGATGGTCTCGCTTATAGGATCGTAGGGTACGTCGAATAGATCATCCCTCGGTCCTGCGCTCAAAGGTGCTGATTCCATTTCAGTTTCCAATTGAACAGGGTTAGAAGGATTTATCCGAGGCCGATTCAGCTTCGTCTTGGCCTGGAACCTTCCTTTAAGCCTTTGCAGCTGTGTAGGCTTCTCCTGTGGGCAATGAGGAGCCTTAACACTATGCTACGGGGAGAGAATATGAACTCCTTGGAACGCACGACCCTTTTCACCGCTCCGGAGTGGGTTACCCAACTTCTCAGGTATCTGAATAATGTCGGAAGGCTTTTTCTTGGCCTCGAAATCTCCCCAGAATTTTTTAAAGGCTTGAAAACCTCGAGAGATAATATTCTTACTCTTGGGGGTGTTCGGCTGGAGTTTGCCGGTCGGTGCAGAGTCTTGTTTCGCGGAGCCTCCATTTGTCTCGGCGATTTCCCCTGTTGCCGGCCGGTTGTGGCGTTTTAAATTTGCGCCATCATGTCCTCCCTTTTTCGCCATCGTGGATCTCGCACTGTTGTTGCCCTGCAGCTCCGCTCGTGCCTTCTTCATTTTCCAACACGCCAAGGGTCGATGTCCTACTGCGCCGCAAAATTCGCACTTCTCATATTTTGTCGGCCGCTGCTTCGCGTCGATCTTGTCGATATCCATTGGGTCGGCGGTTGTGGGTGGTGCCGATCGCTTCGTGCCAAATGATCGGTTTGGCACGTGGCGTCGTGTCTCGGGTTGATCTCGCGTCAGCGCATCGAATCTCTCTGCTGCACACACCATGTCGCGGTAGTTGTTGTAGTTTGCGGCAATCACCTGTCGGCGGACTTCCATCTTTAGCCCCTCAGAATACGCTTGGATTTTTCCCCTTCGGTCAGGTCGGTAATTCGGTTGAAGAGGCTCTCCATCTGCTGCGTGTACTGTGTTACACTGCCGAACTATTTATGCCGATGAATCTGCTGCCGCGCCATGTAGCTGGAGTTGATTGGTTCGAAACGTTGAATTAAAGCTTCCCGAAACTGCGTCCATGACCCCTCGCCTCGGATCTTATTGCTGTTGTAAATCCACTCGAGCGCCGGGCCTCGTAACAGTGTCGCTGCGAGCCGAATCCGCATTGCATCGTGTGTCGGGGTCGTACAGCCAACGGCCTCGAAGTAAATTTCGAGGTCGCAATGAATCGACAGACGTCGGTGTCTTTAGCATTCGGATTGAATGTCTCCGGTAGCCTCGGACGTGCCGCCTCAAGATTCATTGTAGCCGCTGCCGCTGCTGCTGGGTTAAGTGTCGGTGTCGCCGCTGTTGCTGCTGACGTCGCTGCTGCATTCGCCGCTGCGTTCGCTGCTGCTATGGCGGCTGCCGACTGGTTTGCGAGAAGCTCCTCTATTCGCTGGAGTGCCGCTTGCGTCTGGTCCAGGCCGGTGTGTAACTCCGTAATTTTCCATACGGAATTATCACTGTTTTCCTCCATTTGGCGATTTATGGGAAGATTTGCGACGAAAATAAATGAATTCTAGGCACTGGTCATCTTACTGTGAGTCGACTTGACTGCAGAAATGACGACGGCTGATTCTGTAGGTCGCATTATTCTCCCTTAGTCGAAATTCGCGTCTGATCTCGGCCGTTGAGAAGAAAGTTGATCCGACGCTCCAAATTCCAACCGTTTTGGTCGAAATTCCCAGGGCCGTTGAGATTCGAATCGATCTGACGGTCGAAATTCCAACTTTTTCGCCACTGGAACTGAGGAGTGTTTGAAAACCGCTTCGTTGGGGACGTTAGAAAATAGCGCGGAACTGGTTTACGTACCCGAAATCGGTGCTTTCCGTCGTCGCCCCCGCGGTTTTAAAAGCTAGGTTTAAGCGGTCGAAAAACTTCGCTTGCAAACAGGCTCTGATACCAAGTGTGAGGATCTAGGATCGAGCTCAGAAAAGAGAATGAGAATTGAGTCGAATTGAATGATCACCTGGGTACAACACGAGGTTATATATAGGCTCGACACAAGGCCCCGTAACCAGGTGTTACGCGAAGGTTCCGCGGGTCGCGAAGCGTTCCGAACAGATCCTTTCCGAATTCGGTAGAAGGCAATTCGGTGGCAACCGAAAAGCCAGAATTCGGTGCACGCAACCTAGCTTGGTGCTATAACTATAATAAAATATAGGAAAGCACCTAGCCTAGGAAATCAAGCAATTCATGCATGCATATAATTATCCTATGCTAGAAATAGCATAACAAAGTAAAGGCAAGCAAGCATAGCTGGCATAAGCCGTCGTACTCTCACAGACTTGTTCACAGAGGCAGCCAGTAATAAGAGGGGGATTGGCCGGGGTAACAGCAGCACTGGGAAGAGCTGGAATGTGGAGGCGAAAGCGCTTGGGAAGGCTGAGGAAATGGCTGCTTTCTCGAACCAGCTCTTTGGGTATAATGATGAGGAGGACGAAGATGACATCAGAGAAGGTGGCTACATGGTCTACGGGACAGGGAGTGTGTGCTACATGAATCAACTGTACATGGATGAGGAGGATGAGGAGGAGAGGAGGTCACTGGCAACCTTCGGGAGATTTGGTGGAAGGAGGAGAATAACCGGGTCGAGCAGCCGGGCCGCTCTTCGTAGGATGAGCAGCGTGCTGAGACAAATGTAGTTTAGACATCCTGCCTTAATTTTGTTAACAGCTGTGGCTGTAACCAGAGTAACTGAACAGCCACAGACTGTCATGTAAAGTCAAGCTCTTTACAATTGAATCTTGTAAAATGCTTCTACTTAAACATTTATTCCGACAATGCAGTAGAATTGCTTTCTGGATTTTAAATATTGTCTCAAAGCTCACTCCAAGCCTATGCAAGATGCACCTGTACCTGTACAGATGGTATGCCGCCATTTGTTCTTTCAGTCAGAAAGCCATCAATTTTTAATAACTGCAGTTTTATTTGTAAGGTTATATATATTGTACAGCGTCACTGAGTTTGAAACTAAGCATATAAGTCGTTTCACTCTAAATGCACCATCCGCCATCCATCCTCCCCTTCCCGCTTCCGTCCATTTCCAAGGGTGGACAGGCTTCGCTTCAGCCATTCCTGATTTCATGTCCTGCTGTTTACCTCCGTCCCACATGTCCAGCGTACGGAAAGCCACTGGGTTAGTGCGTTGCCTCGGCTTCAGGTTTGGTTTATCGAACCTTTGCCTAAAGTCTCGCCTCTTTCCGACACCTAACGGCTCTTCCCGCCTTCGAAATTTCTCAAGCCGCACTCGGTACTCCCGATTGCGGCGGACCTTGGATTACCACGTGCCTCAAAGAATCCCCCATCGCTTGTACATGATACAGTCGAGAGATCGCAGTGAATCGCTAGCCATGCGACGCTTTAGGCCATCTAGCAACGTCGCCATGGTCAACGATCGCCGTGAACTTCTCAGGCAATGCGGATTTGCACAGCAGTGGTCATCCGTGACTCACACCCTCGGCTCTCCCGAGCCTCACACTCTCCGCGTTTCCGAGCCTCGCACCCTCTGCGATTTCGAACCTCACTCCACTGGCGTTTCCGAGCCTCACACCCCTCCGTGACTTTCGTCGCACCCCTGTTCCAGTCTCAGGCGCAACCCACAATCCGTCCCTTCCTTAGATTCTAGCAGACACTGATGCACTAGCAAAACAATTTCAAAGCAAGCGAGGGTTCGTATTCTCATTGACCATTTTGCACTGATCCGGTTGCTGCAAATTCTTATAATCAGCCTTCGACTTCCTACCGTGGTTACTTACTGTCTGTCTCTTTGCTCGAGTGCTCCCCGAAAGTCCGTCGATCTCTACACTAAAGCCAATCCGTTTCCGCCACTTCATCCGTCAGTGAAATGGCCTGTGTCGGTGCTGCGAGTGTCTGCGTGGACGTTGACGCTCTCTTCTCGAATCACTGGGAGAAGGATGACTCTCTGAATCGTTTCGTCTGCAGCCTGATCTCCCTTCCACGCCTGGTAAGAACAATGTCTACCTTCTCCTTTGCGCTTCTGTGCATATTATTACGCCGACGCCTCTTTGTCACATATTATCTTAATATCTTGAGCAAAAACTAAAGTTGCTCACTTGAATCTTTGCAGGTCGACTTCAAGTGGACCAGCTCAAGCAATCAAGTTGCAGCAAAGGCTGTTCCTGTTGTGGATGAGCCGCCTGCTGTCAAGAACGAGGTCCCTGTTGTCCATGTGGAGGTTCCTCCTGTCCCTGTGGAGGTTCCTGCTGTCCTTGTGGATGTTCCTGCGGTCCCTACGGAGGTTTCTGCTGTCTTGGAGGTTCCTGTTGTCTCTGTGGAGGTCCCTGCTGTCCCTGTGGAGGTCCCTGCTGACCTGGTCGAAACTGCTGCGTGCTCAGTTGGAACCGCTGCCCTATCAACTGAGCTCGTTCCTCCTTTCTCGGCTGCTGCACCTCGCTCCTCGGCTGAAGCAGTGTCCAGTTCGACTGAGAGCTCGATTTACTCAATTGAAAAGGCGTGGTGGTTGGCTGTTCTGGAACCAGAGGAGGTGGCTTCTTCGTTCCTAGTCGCAGAGCCGTACCACGATGTGATGATGGGTACAAAGTCACTCAAAGGTGCGATGGTGGGTGCAGAGGCGGGCAGTAGGCGGTGCAGCTTGAGTCGGAATGAGAGTGCGTGTCTCATCGATCTCACCTGGGATACCTGCTCCTTCTCTTCTAATAGCCTCTGCAGTGCACAGACGGACTTGTTCACAGAGGCAGCCGGTAGTAAGAGGGGGATTGGCCAGGGTAACAGCAGCACTGCGAAGGGCTGGAATGTGGAGGCGAAAGGGCTTGGGAAGGCTGATGAAATGGCTACTTTCTCAAACCAGCTCTGTGGGTTTGATGATGAGGATGAAGATGACATCAGAGGAGGTGGCTACACGGTCTACGGGACAGGGAATGTGTGCTACATGAATCAACTGTACATGGATGAGGAGGATGAGGAGTAGAGGAGTTCACTGGCAGCCTCAGGGATCTCGATCGGGATTGGTAGGTTCGGTTCAAGGCGGAGGATAACTGGCTCTAGCAGCCGGGTTGCTCTCCGTAGGATGAGTAATGTGCTGAGACAAATGTAGTTTAGACATCCTAGTCTATTAGCAGCTGTGGCTGGACCAGAGTAAACTGGACTGCCACAAATTTGCATGTTTGTAGAAGCTGTTTTGTAAAATAATGTATTAATAATTCTGTCAGCACACCCTTCATCAAGCCGTTCACAAGGAGCATCTACACTGCATTCTTCATGTCCATAATAAACACATAAGGGAGTTGTTTTTCACCTTTGTGGAGTCAGTACCCTCTTCTCACATCAGATTCCTTCAACAGCTGGTAGCAAGGGAGGAGTCTATGAATAGTAGCACACACACACCCTTGACTGTGTCACTAGCTGATGCATATGGAGGACTGGCGGAACCAACTCATGTGAACATCAGTTACCGTATCGGTAAGTAGAGTGGCTGCATGGAGGTTACACTCGTTCAAAATGTGTCATGTAGAGACCAATCCATAATGGTAAGTAGCCCTCACAGTGTGCAACAAACAGGTAGCAGCTAATCAAAACTTCCTTCCCTTCCCCATCCTTGCAGCCCACCACCACGCTGGGAGCGGTACAGCGGCACAGTGTGGCAAAGCAGAGGCACATAGAGCATCTTATCGGAACTTGTTGGAGGAGGAACATCAATGTCCTCCCCCTCCTCATCCTCACACGCCACCACCACGTCAAAGTGGCGGCGGTTCGGCAGGGCATGGCAGAGTCAGTGGCTTATCGGAACTTGATGGAGATGAGAGGAACATCAACATCCTCCCCCTCGTCATCCTCACATGCAACCACCACATCAAAGTGAGCATGATGTGGCATGGAAGAGACGGCAGCTTATCGGAACTTGATGGAGATGAGAGGAACATCAACATCCTCGCCCTCGTCATCCTCACACGCCACCACCACGTCAAAGTGGCGGCGGTATGCCGGCACCTCCAGCTTTGCCACCTCCTTGGCAATGTCCAGCACCTTGCGGGGTAGGCGCTCCTTGTGGCGCGGGAAGAGCGAGTTGAAGAGGAGGGCTTGGCCGCAGGAAATGCTGTCAGGAGAGGGGAGAGCGAAGACAGGAGAGGGGAGAGCGAAGACAGGAGAGGGGAGAGCGAAGACAGGAGAGGGGAGAGCGAAGACAGGAGAGGGGAGAGCGAAGACAGGAGAGGGGAGAGCGAAGACAGGAGAGGGGAGAGCGAAGACAGGAGAGGGGAGAGCGAAGACAGGAGAGGGGAGAGCGAAGACAGGAGAGGGGAGAGCGAAGACAGGAGAGGGGAGAGCGAAGACAGGAGAGGGGAGAGCGAAGACAGGAGAGGGGAGAGCGAAGACAGGAGAGGGGAGAGCGAAGACAGGAGAGCCATGGAAAGAAAGGAGAAATGTTGGAGTAGCTCCAGCTTTGCCACCTCCTTGGCAATGTCCAGCACCTTGCGGGGTAGGCGCTCCTTGTTACGCGGGAAGAGCGAGTTGAAGAGCAGGGCTTGGCGAAATGTTGTTAGGAGAGGGGAGACAGGAGGGGGTAGGCAAGAAGGTTTTATTTGGTTGGGCACCTTCAGCTTGGCCACGTCCAGCTAGCTCAGTGGTGGCACCTCCCAGCTTTGCCACCTCCTTGGCAAGGTCCGAAGCTGCCACTGACCTCTTCTCCCCCTCGTCCTCCTCATCTATGTGCAGTTGATTCACGTAGCACACATTCCTTGCTTTTCCACCCATCCACCTCACCTGTATGCATCCAGCCCCTTGGCCTAGAACCAACCGAGCAGCTCCTCCATCGTGACATCGCCCTCCACTGTCCACCGATCTACCTTACCACAAGCACACACACACGCACTCCTTTCCACCGCTTTCAACCCATGCTCACCTGTATGCATCGAGCCCCTTCGCCTTGAACCAATCCAGCAGCTCCTGCATCGTCACATCGCCCTCCACGGTCCACCGGTCCCACACAGTCCACGTGAGCTCCTTGTGCTTGACGCTCTTGGGCGGCACGGGCTCAGCCATGGAGAAGAGCGGCAGAGCGAGGTTGGCGAATGTGTTGCGCAGCGCAGAGGCCTTGGCGCCCTGCAGCACCTTGTAGAGCTCCAGACACACCAGGCCTGGCAGACGGGGAGGCAAAACGGAAGGGTTGAGGGGGGAGGGTAGGGGAGAGCGGGACGGATGGATGGGAGAGAGGGGAAGGGCGAAGTCAGCTCCTTGTGCTTGACGCTCTTGGGCGGCACGGGCTCAGCCATGGAGAAGAGCGGCAGAGCGAGGTTGGCGAACGTGTTGCGCAGGGCAGACGCCTTGGCGCCCTGCAGCACCTTGTAGAGCTCCAGGCACACCAGGCCTGGGAAGAGAAGGAGATGGGAAGAAGGGAGGGCGGGTGGGGGTTTGGGAAGACATGGAGAAGAGCGGCAGGGCGAGGTTGGCGAAGGTGTTGCGCAGGGCAGACGCCTTGGCGCCCTGCAGCACCTTGTAGAGCTCCAGGCACATGAGGCCTGGGAAAGAAGGGAGGAGGGGGAGGGGGGGTTGGGGATGGACGAGAGAGGGGTAGGGCTAAATGTGCAGCACCTTGTAGAGCTCCAGGCAGACCAGGCCTGGGCAGGGATGGGGGGGGAGCGGTGAGGAGAGATGGAGGAGAGGGGAAAGCGAGCTTGTTGCAATCACAGGCACAACAGCAACAACAATGCACCGATCAGTATTAGCAAAGATCATCTCAACAATGCACCGATCAGTATTAGCAAAGATCATCTCAACAATGCACCGATCAGTATTAGCAAAGATTATCTCCTCCCCCCACCAGTGGCAAGAGCAGTGGTGGTGGTGATGGCAGGGATGATCCGCCCAGCAATGAACTTGGCTTTTCGTTTGTCCATCCCATCCCATCCCACCCCACTAAACCCCACCCCACCCCACCCCACTCCACTCCCTTCTCTCACCAGTGGCAAGCGCTGTCGTGGTGGCGATGGCAGGAATGATCCGCCCCGCAATGAACTTGGCCTTGAGCTTGTCCACCTCGCCAATGGTGTAGTTGCGCGCGCGCAGGTTGGCAAGAGCTGCCATCAAATCCATGTGGTAGTTGGTGTCGTCGTCCTGAGGAGGGGAGAGGGGTGTAGGGGAGTTGAAAAAAGGGGTGTGTGAGCCAAGGGGCCTTGCGAGCGCGCAGGTTGGCGAGGGCAGCCATGAGATCCATGTGGTGGTTGGTGTCGTCGTCCTGAGGAGATAAATACAGACGGGAGGGAGGGAGAGGGGGTGTGTGAGTTGAAGGAGCCTCTTAATTGGCTGCAAGCGCGCAGGAATGATCCGCCCAGCAATGAACTTGGCCTTGAGCTTGTCCATCTCGCCGATGGTGTAGTTTCGAGCACGGAGATTTGCAAGGGCAGCCATGAGATCCATGTGGTAGTTGGTGTCGTCGTCCTGAGGAGAGGGCAGACGAAGAGGGGTTGGGGGGCATAGGCTTTAAAGTGGGGCTGGGGTTGATTCAAGGAGCCTGCAAGGTTGTGGCGCAGAGGTTGGCAAGGGCAGCCATAAGATCCATGTGGTAATTCGTGTCGTCGTCCTGAGGAGGGGAGAGGGAGCGAATGTGGGAGCGGGGTGTGTGAGGGCTGATCAGGCAAAGCAGCCATGGGATCCACATGCAGGTGTGTGTCCCAAGTCTTGTGGAGAAAGCGCAGCGACAGAAAGGGGGGGCTGGTGGAGGGGGAAAAAGGGTTGCCTGGGAGGGTGAGCACCGCAGCCTCTGGCTGCTTGTGAGTGGCACGTCGGCAAAACGGAAGGTAAGCGATTTCCGCGGGGAATCCCTTGCTGCTGTCCTTGAGCCGCCCCACCGGGTTTGCTAGCACAGTGTTGTTGAAACAGTTAAGTTCAGATTGATTTTCAGCCACTCTCTTCCACACCCCCCCTCACCTTCTCAATCTGCCCTGGCAGTGGCACTGTGTGGAACTCCTTCAGCTGGCCCTTGCTGCCTCCTTGAGCCGGCCCACTGGGTTTGCCGCCACATTCTTGTTGAAACACGAGGAATCAGACTGATGACCAACCACTTACCACCTCTTCCCACTCCCTCTCACCTTCTCAAACTGCACTGGCACCATGCGGAACTCCTTGGGAAGCCCCTTGCTGCCCTCCTTGAGCCGCCCCACCAGCTCAGCGATCGCCTTGCCGTCGTCCCCCACTGACGTGGCAGCGCTGGTGGCCTTCTCGTCCGTCACGATCTTCACACCCTGTGAGGCAGCAGTAGGGAGGGTTAGGGAGGGGTGAGGGAAGGATTGGAGTGGTAGGGGGGGGCACTGCTCGTCGCCTTGCCGTCGTCCCCCACTGATGTGGCAGCGCTGGTCGCCTTCTCATCTGTCACGATCTTCACACCCTGTAAAGGCAGTGGCGGGGAGGGGTGGAGAGGGGTGGAACGTTGGTGGGGAGGGGTGTCGGGGGTCGCCTTTCCATCGTCCCCCACTGACGTGGCAGCGCTCCTGGCCTTCTCATCTGTCACGATCTTCACACCCTGTGACGCAAAGATGGGGAGGGTTACGGAGGGGTGAGGGAAGGAATTGAGTGGTAGGGAGGAGCACTGCTCGTCGCCTTGCCGTCGTCCCCCACTGATGTGGCGGCGCTGGTGGCCTTCTCGTCTGTCACGATCTTCACACCCTGTGAGGCAGCGATGGGAGGGATAAAGGGTGGTGGAGAGGGGTGCAGTGGGGTGAATTTGGGTGGGGAGGGTAAAGCGGTGGTGAGGAGGGGTACTGCGGTTCACCTTGCCATCGTTCCCCACTGATGAGGCAGCACTGGTGACATTCGCATCCATCAAAATTTTCACACCCTGGGAACAAATGTGGTGGTGGTGGTGGTGGAACAAGTGGATTGGGGTGCGGCGGGAAGGGGAGGGACGGAATCACAGACAAGCACAGAGGCCACCCCTACGATTGCCTCCTCATCTTCTGCTCACCTTCCTTTTTCCATCTTCCCCTCCCCGCCTTACTCCTCCACCACCTCAATAGAGTGTGAGAAGGCAGGGGAGGGGTGCCTCCTCTGCTTTTCCAGACTCCTTTCCTTTCAAATCCCCCACCCTTAGCCCCCTCTCCCCGGCCACACATGTTTCAGCACAAAATCTCCCAATTCCACCCTCCCGTCCCGTCCCTCCCAACGCCCCCCCCCCACTCCCCCCTTCAATCCTCCCCTCACCCACAATCCTCACCTGCTTCGGCACAAACTCCCCGACTTCCACCTTAGCCACCGCCTCAGCATCCTCTTCCCATCCTCCCACCATTCCCCCTTCCCCTTCCCGTAACCCCCCCACCCACCCCCCTCCTCCTTTCCCTTCCACTTCCTCCCTCTTCCCCCCATCCTCACTTCCTCCCTCTTCCCCCCATCCTCACCTGCTTCGGCACAAACTTCCCCACTTCCACCTTGGCCACCGCCTCAGCCATCCTCTTGCCGTCCCTCGCCCAATCCGGGACCTCGATCCCGAACGTGGCAGCCCGTAGGATGGCGCCAGCTGTCACGAACGCGAGGCACGTGGGGTCCTCGGGGGTGAAGGTGACGGCGGTGGGGAAGCGCTTGGGCGGCGACCAGAAGGGCAGGCCCGTACTGGTGGAGGCGTTTTCTGGGAAGGTGTATGTGAGCTGCTTGATGCGGTTGGCAAAATAGTCCTCGAACCTGGGAGGGAAGGGGATGATGCATGGTGGGTGGGGGGAGGGCAGGCGGAGGGGGAAAGGGGGGGAACGTAAGGGTGGGTGTGGGGGAAGGGGAGGGGGAAGGAGAAGTGTAGGTGGAGAGGCAAAAAGGGGGGAAGAGGGGGGGAGACATGTGGGAGAACAAACGAATAGGATACAAATGGCAAAGGTTTGCATGATCCCCCACCCAAGACCCAGCTCCCGAACCCCAACCCTGAAACCCCAAGTCTAATCCACAAACCTCCTTGAACCCCCCAACCAGCCTTGAACCCCCCAACCAGCCTTGAACCCCCCAACCAGCCTTGAACCCCCCAACCAGCCTTGAACCCCCCAACCAGCCTTGAACCCCCCAACCAGCCTTGAACCCCCCAACAAGCCTTGAACCCCCCAACCAGCCTTGAACCCCCAAACCAGCCTTGAACCCCCCAACCAGCCTTGAACCCCCCAACCAGCCTTGAACCCCCCAACCAGCCTTGAACCCCCCAACCAGCCTTGAACCCCCCAACCAGCCTTGAACCCTAACCCCCCACCCCCACCCACTTGCGGCGCGCCCACGACACACAGTCATCGAAGCTGCCAGCCCTCTCCGTGACAGGGCACTCCACCACCCTCTCCACCGCCTCCCTCGCTGCAGCAAGACCTCTGAGTCAGACCTTTTCCCCAGCCCCTAAACCCCGTAACCCAACCCCAATCCCCAGTTACTCACTTGCGGCGTGCCCACGAGACGCAGTCATCGAAGCTGCTCGCCCTCTCTGTAACCAAACACTCCACCACCCTCTCCAGCGCCTCCCGTGCAGCAGCATCCCCGGCGCCCATCATCTCCTCACAATACTTCTCCTGCCCACTCAGAAACGCGTTCGCCTCACTCGGCGTCCTCTCCAGCAGCCCCTCAAACTCGCTGCGCGCCCACGTCAAGCAGTGCGTGATGTTGTGGGGGAAAGAGTGGACGGTACACATCGGTGCCTGCCTCTCCGGGGGGTCCCGGGACGCTCCGTAGTTCTCGGTCTCGTGCGGAACGACCATCTGTGTGTTGCATTTCGCGCCGAGCGTCCCACTCTCGAGAAGCGGCTTGTTGAAGTAGAGGCAGCGCGAGTCGACGTAGAGACGCGCGTTCACGTTATCGAGTGCGTTTATAACGACATCTAAGTGTTCCCAGAAGGTGTCGTCAAATACGTCTTCAGTCTGCGGGCCCACGCGGTTTTGCAGGGCGTTCACGCGCAGCGCAGGGTTAATTACCCTCGCGGCGACCGCCGCCACAGAGGATTTCGCGTGCCCGATGTTCCAGTCGCGGAAGAGGAACTGACGGCTGAGATTGCTCTTCTCGATCGTGTCGTCATCCGTGACCGTCAGATAGCCCTTGCCACTCAGCGGCACACTCTCGCCACTGCTAGCACCACCATCACCGGCACCAGCAGGAGGTTTCTCCCCCGGTGGCGTGCAGCAGACGCCCATGAGAGCGAGGTTCTTGAGCAGCTCACAGCCCAGCGCCCCTGCGCCCACCACAAAGGCGGAGGAGGCGTGCATGCGCGCCTGCAGGGTGCGGCCGAAGAGAGCGATCTGGGAGTCGTAGCGCGTGTTGGTGGGCGCTGTCTCCTCCGCTGAGAGGGGCTCAGCAGGTAGGGACTCCACCGAGTCGAAGTAAAAGAGCTGTGGGAGGGTGGGGAGGGAGAGGGGCGGAGGACAGGGGGACGGGGCGGTAGAGGGGAGGACGACAGGGGCGGATGAGCAGACGAATTAATCAGGAGCCGCAGCAACGGGCCTGCAGCGTCCGGCCGAAAGAGGGCTATCTGGGAAAATCGTAGCGCGTGTTGGTGGGCGCTGTTTCCTCTGCGGAATCTTTCCCATCCGAGCCCCTGAAAAGATTCCACCGAGTCAAAGTAGAAGAGCTGGAGCGGAGGGAGGGAGGGGAGGGAGCGGAGGGAGGGAGTGGAGGGAGGGAGGGGCAAGCGGGACGAGAAGGAAGTCAAAGGGCGGATGGGATGATGGATAGATGAGCAGCAAGCTGTGCATGTGCGCCTGCAGGGTGCGGCCGAAGAGAGGTATCTTGTGCAACTTGTGTAGTATGCAGAAATACATTCTCACCTGGAAGAACCCCTTCTCACCTGGAAGAGCGGGTGGAACTTGCCCGAGCACGCCTTAACCACCTCCTGCCCCACGATCCCTCCAAACATGGCCGCCATCGGACAAATCTCCGCACTCGCCCCGTGCGCCAGCTGCCGAATCAGCCCCTCCCCCTCCTTCACCACCCCCTCCTCCACTTTTGCATCCTTCCCCGCCCGCCCATTCACCTCCCTCACCAGCTCCACCACCCTCGCCCCATCCCCCTCCGACCCTGGTGCGGGAAACCTCCCGGTCTCCTTCCGGAACGCGTCTAAAGCCTGGAAGGCGAGGTGCAGCAGCGGCGGGCGGTCGAACTTGGCGAAATCGCTCAGCAGGAACTCGCCGGGCTGCTCCAGGCAGGCCGAAAGCGGCCGAAACGCCAACTCCTTGGGCTCTTTCACTTGAGTCACGATCCCGCCGCTTTCATACGCGCCATACGCTGACGTGTCGTCGTCTAAGAGGAACGAATGCGCCCGGACGTTCCGCACGCGCCGCGGCTTCCCGTCGTTCAGCTCCGTCATCCCCCGGACCTCCGAGAACACCACCAGATCGCCGTCTTGAAATCCCAGCCGTTCATCATCCACACAGGTGACGAGGGCATCGGGGGAGTCTTTGGCGACAGATGCGACGATTCCTGAGAAGGGCTCCTCCCCGTCGACATCTGTGACGGTGAATTTTGGTCCGAAGTCGCAGAAGATCGCACCGAACACGCCCCGGGTCTCGCAGCGAATGAAGGGCACCGAGGGGTTGTGGGCGTGGCAGTATGCGTCGAACTCAATGGCCTGGTCCAAAGGCAGGTCGGTGAAAACAACAGCCTGCAGGGAGGATTGGAGAATGCGGGATGGAAAGAATGGAGGAGAGAGTGATGAAGCGGGTCAATAAACGCCTCAGACTGCACAGGTCTCGCAGTGGGTGAAGGGCACGGGAGGTACGGGGGGAAAGGGATGTGCGTGCGGCAATAGGCATCAAACTGGGATGGCTCGGTCCAGAGGCAGGCCGGCGAACATGACCGGCTGGAGGGAGGGAGATACGGGGAATGTGGGGTAGAAACAAGAGGAGGAGAAAGAAGGAAGGAGAGACATATAAGGTGCCAGAGAGCACGTCTCAAATTCCCCCATGGTTCTCGCAGCCATGGCGGTGGCAGGGCACCCGAGGGGTGGAGGGAGAGAGGGGCGGGGGGGAGTAGAGCAGGTAGCAGTAGGCGTCGAATCCTGTGGCTTGGTCCAGAGGTAGGTCCGTGAGAACAACGGCCTGGAGGTGGCATGCGTGCAGCACACGCCTGCACGTGTTGCAAGAGCCAGTTCCTCACACCTGGAAATCCCCCAGAAACTCCTTCCTGATGGGACCTAAGTACACGTGCACAGGTACCACCCTGTTGAGCTCCTGCACGCGCGCAGCACACGCCTCATACCCCACTAACCTCCGTCCCTCCATCACCCACCTGGAAATCCCCCAGGAACTCCTTCTCAATGGGCGCCGTGTGCACCTGCGCCTCCACCGCCTTGTTCAGCTCCTGCAGGCGCGCAGCGCAGGAGCGCAGCATACGTCCCATACCCCAATCCCCGTCTGTTACTCACCTGGAAATCCCCCAGAAACTCACGCCTCATACCCTCCCTACCTCCCTTCCTCTAGCACGCACCTGGAAATCACCGAGGAACTCCTTCTCGATGGGCGCCGTGTGCACGTGCACCTCCACCGCCTTGTTCAGCTCCTGCAGGTGCGCCGCACACGCCTGCGCGCGGTTGACCCCCACGTCGGCCTCCGTGAGAAAGAACTGAGCCGAGAGGTGCTGCACCGTGACTGTGACTGTATCGTGCACTGTCACGGACTTGACGCCCGCTAGTATCACGTTCTTCGCTGCGTGGGGGACACAAAAGAGGGGGATGGAGGAGAAGAAGTTGACAACACTTGCTAGCAACGCGCTTTGATGCCAAGGGAGGGAGCGAGGCATCGGAGGAGGCAACGCAGGGAGGAGGAGACAGAGCGAATGGAGCAAAAAATGGGGAGGCGTAAAGCCCTGAACCCGCGAAGGAACCAACGGCGGGAATGGCAGGGGCGCTGTTGACCACAACGGACGCGCAACGGATAGGTACCAGTCGCCTGAACCGAACACGCTCACTATCGAGCCATTCTTGGAAAGGGACGGGCACCGTAACGGGGTGACTTATGAGTCGACTCAAAAGTCACCACAACCAGCAGGCGACGAATAGGTACCAGTAGCGTGAACTGAACACGCTCAATATGGCATTCATGGTAAGACATACGAGTGGGAGGAGCTTGCAAAAAGAACACGGCGATTCGAACCAGTTTAATGCATCAGAAAGTATAACGAACGAGCGCAGATCGAGTTAAACGGGTGAGTTTAGCGCACATCCGTGATTCGGATTCTGAGCACACAGATTCTGCAAAATATCTGAAAAATCTCGCAGAAATTATAAGCAAAAAGAATTGAAACAAATGTCGCGCAAACGGACAATCAGTTCACTCCTTCTAGCAAAATCTCTTAGAATCTCCACCTCCACATGAAGATCCTCACGAGCATGCCCCGTAGCCTCTTCTTTTACGCATTGATCTTAACGCCTAGGCCGGTGAGATCTGATATCGGAATCTTCAGCGCCAAACACGCGCTTCATCGTCTCAATCGGCCTATTTCGCCTTCTTAAGCCCGTTCGTCGTCCCTCTTACCAATCTCTAGGCCAAGGCCGTCAAGACCCCTAACAAGTTCGCGCCAAACGTGAGCTTCATGGTCTCGCGGCCTTTCTCCGTCAGTTCCTCAAGTGAGATTCATCGACCAATCATATCTCTACTATCACCTCGCTTCACGTACCAATTTCCACGCCAAGGCCGTTAAGTCCCGAAATAAGAACCTTCGCGCCGAACATGCGCTTCATCGTCTCGCGGCCATACACCGCCAGCTGGCGACTGTGCAGATCCTCATCGATCACAATCTCCCCGCCTCCGCCGGCGCCGGTCGCGGCACCGTTCGCGCTGTCAGATGTCGGCTGCGGAGCCATCTCCACGTCGCGATTCGACGAATTCGTCACCTTGGTCGGAACGGAATCGGCTAGTTTAGAGTCGGTCACTACAGTCGCGTCCTCGCCGTCGATCTTCTGGCGCTTGTGCTCGCGATCGTCGGATTCCACGGCACCGCCGTCCGCGCCCGATCGCGAGGTGAGATGCAGTGGCATACAGCAAATCGCCTCGCCGGCGGTGCTACCTCCTAATATACTAAAGACCCGGACGCGACAAGACGAGACAACCGAGGACGGCCGAAAAGATCCGTGTGTACAACGACGAGAACCGAGAAGAGTCCCGGTTTCGCTTCAGCCGAGGTGTCAGGTCCTTGGAAAACTCGGCTGAATTCGATGTGGGATGAGACAAATTGGAGTGCAGTGGAGTGAGTGGAAAGGGAAATGTGAAGGGAAAGGAAATCCGAGGACGAGGCTGGGAGGAAGTGGAACGAGGGAGGAGACGGGAGGGAGGGAGGAAGGGAAGGGGGAGACGTGAAATGAAGGAAATGGACGGTTCTGCTCCAGCCCAAGGCAAAGTGGGTCTGTAGGCAGATGGGGTTTGTGTCAGAGGCTGCTTGCGTGTATGTTGAAGCGTGGTGTGGTGGTTTTTAGTGTGGTGCAAAATGGTGGGATAGGCTGGTCGGTTTCAGTCAGTGCCTTGACCCATTGAGCTGGCTGGTTCTGAAAATACTCGATAATGACCCAGATTGTGGTTCGATTGCTGATAGTGTTCATACAGCGCTTACACGTAATTGCTATATCTTTTCCCCGATTACCATGCGTTTTTATTCGCTCAAAATGCGTGTTGCTTCTTTCACTTGTGGGCTGAATTACAAACCGTCACTCGACATCATCCAGGAGAGGTTGGGAGGAGGGGGAATGAGACACCCCCCAGCATCACACATTTCCAGCAACCTGACCCTTCCCTCTGCGACGCGCCGCTGACCTGGCAATGCTTATCCGGCCCGCGCCGACATTGGGAGTTGTTTCGCGGGCGAATATCAACGTCCCATTGGCGGGGTTATCCCGCATCTGGCAGAAACATCAGCATGCTGTGACCGTTCGAAGCCCCCTCTGCTGCCTCCATCGATCAGACCCGGAAAATCACGGGCTGACCCATCGAATCTTCCGAAATCCTGTTTTCGACCAACCATTTCGAGTGATTCCAACGGCCGTTCCCTTATTTACTAGACTGACTGCGTCCAGCTCTTCGAGACGGCAAGTTTCAGGCTTAGCGTGCGTCGCGAGTGCGAGCATGGCTGCCGGCGGCGATCGCGGGGAGGGGTGGCTGGTGGGAGCCATCGACCAGGGCACGACGAGCACGCGATTCTTCCTCTACGATGACCATTTGCGCGTCGTCGCGTCGCACCAAATGGAGTTCGAGCAGATTCAGCCTCAGGCCGGGTAGGCTTGCTGTAACTTCTGAGTCGTCTCACAGTGGGAGCCATCGACCAGGGCACGACGTGTTTTGAGTGGACTCAAAATACTCGGGGGGAAGGTTTGGCTGGTGGGAGCCATCGATCAGGGCACGACGAGCACTTGCGCGTCGTCGCGTCGCACCAAATGGAATTCGAGTGGATTCAGCCTCAGGCCGGGTAGGCCTGTACTCATTCGAGACTGCGTAGGCGTCGTTCAACCGTGAATCATCCATGCACTGGCGCAGGGAGCGATAGCAGGCAGGTTACAGTCCCACAGAAAGGTGTTCAGTCTTCCCTGCATCCCATTACTTTTACTTCTTGCCTCCCCAGCTGAGTGGAGCACGATTCCTTGGTGATCCTCTCCAACGGTCGCCAGTGCATGGAGGGAGCCGTGGCAGCAGCGCGGAGCCGACGAGACAACACATCAGTCACACCTCTGTGGCCTTTCCCCCTCCCACCCCCCTCACTCTCCTTCGCGTCTCCACTCCAGCTGGGTGGAGCACGACCCCATTGGTCATTCTCTCCACGGTCCGCCAGTGCATGGAGGGAGCGATAGCAGCAGCGAGGAGAATGCAACAGGCGGGCTTATCTTCTCCCTCCCCCACCTTCCCACCCCACTCCTGTGTCCAGCTGGGTGGAGCACGACCCCATGGTCATTCTCTCCACGGTCTGCCAGTGCATGGAGGGGGCGATAGCAGCAACAAGCCTCACAGGGAGATGTCTTCCTTTTCTCCCATCCCCCTGGCCTCTCCAGCTGGGTGGAGCACGACCCCATGGTCATCCTCTCTACAGTCCACCAGTGCATGGAGGGGGCGATGGCAGCAGCGCGGAGCAAGGGGGTGGATGTTGGCCCTGACACGGTCCGGGCGGTGGGGCTGACCAATCAGAGAGAGACAACTGTCGTGTGGCGCAGGAGCACGGGCGAGCCTCTGTACAATGCAATTGTGTGGATGGACGTGCGCACGAGCGCTGTGTGCCAGTGAGTCGGGGATTGGCGTTGGGACTGCTTGTGGTAGTGTGACAACATGGGAAAATGCATGAAAAACCTTTGTGTAACGCCATAGTGTGGATGGACGATGTTCACTCACACGAGCGCGAGATTAGGCTCGCGTTTTCTGGGTTGCAAGAGTTTATGCAAACTGGCTGATTATGCTCACGCTTTTGTGTATCCTGCTCCTTGTTCCTTCGGTCTCCACCTAGGCGATTGGAGCAGCAGCTTTCAGGAGGTCGGGACGAGTGGAGGGGCGTGACGGGACTTCCCCTCAGCACCTACTTCAGCGCCCTCAAGCTGGCGTGGCTGCTGGAGGAGGTGCCAGCTGTCAGGCAGGCAGTGGAGGAAGGCGATGCGCTGTTTGGCACCATTGACACGTGGCTCATCTGGAACCTGACAGGTGGCGCTCTCAGAATGTGATAGCTCATTGCACTATGCACCTCCCACCCTTTCTCTCACTAGTCAGCTTTTTACCCACCCACCAAAACAGTCCTCTGTCATTGTCATTCACTTGCCTTTAATTGTACTTACCCTGTCCTCTAGTTTCTGAATTTTCTCATTGCTGACTCAACATCCCCACCCGTTTTACCCCATCCAACCCTACAGACAAACCTGCCTGTCTGCAATGTGACTCACATCCCACCCCAATATTCCCCACCTATCCCTCTACACACCCGCACAGGTGGTGCATGCCACGTGACAGACAGCAGCAATGCCTCGCGCACGCTGCTCATGGACCTCAGGGCGCTGCAGTGGAGCCAGCCCATTCTTGACGCCCTTTGGCACACACACCCACTTTTGAGACGTCTCAAAAGCCCTTCGGCACACACACCCACTTTTGAGACGTCTCAAAAGCCCTTCGGCACACACACCCACTCCTCTGCAACCCCCCACAAGAGGTGCCTGCCATGTGACGGACAGCAGCAACGCCTCGCGCACACTGCTCATGGACCTCAGAGCGCTGGAGTGGAGCCAACCCATTCTCTCAACACCCTTCCACACACACACACTCCCCCACACCCCTCCGCACCCCTTCGCACCCCTCCGCACCCCTCCGCACCCCCCTACAGGTGGTGCATGCCACGTGACTGACAGCAGCAATGCCTCGCGCACTCTGCTCATGGACCTCTGGGCGCTGCAGTGGAGCCAACCCATTCAACCTCCCTTCCCCTTCCACACACCCACTCCTCCACTTGCCCCTACATCTACAGGCGGTGCCTGCCATGTGACGGACAGCAGCAATGCCTCGCGCACGCTGCTCATGGACCTGAGAGCACTGGAGTGGAGCCAACCCATTCTCGACGCTCTCAACATTCCCAGAAGCATCCTCCCCAGCATCATCTCCAGTGCTGGTGAGCTTTGAAGGGCTGCTGGTGGGTATATGTTCCAGACGTCTCAGACATAGGATTGTGTTGATGGGTGGGTGAGGGAGTGAGAGCACCTGAGAGTATGTTTTTCCAGAAGCATCCTCCCCAGCATTATTTCCAGTGCTGGTGAGTTTGCTGCTGGGTGGGCTTCTGATGGGTCTAGTCTTGAGACTCTTCAGAAATAGGCTGGTTCTGGGTGGAAGAGTGAGAGAAAGGCGAAGAAAACGAGAAGGTCGAGTGTGTCTTGTTTCGTCTGCTCCTCCTCCCTCCCTCCCAACCATAAGCCCTCATGGCGCCTCTGTTAGGTGCCTCTTCAAAAAGTGAGGCAACAGTGCAACTGGCACCTTGGCGGCCAACACTCACTCTAGCCTAAACCCCCTTGCTTCTCCATCCCTCTGTCTGTCCGTTTCACCCCCCCTCCACCCAACTCCCCGACAAGAGCACATCGCACCTATTGCCTCTCGTGGCCACTAGCGGGCGTGCCACTGTCGGGCTGTCTGGGCGACCAGCACACCGCCACACAGCAGTACTCTCAGGGGCATGCGCACAGGCCAACGCTCTCTCTATGCTACCCTTCCTCTCCGCCCTGTCACCCAACCACCTCAGAGCCCATCGCCCCCATCTCCTCCTCGTGGCCACTAGTGGGCGTGCCACTGTCGGGCTGTCTGGGCGACCAGCACACTGCCGTGCTGGGGCAGCGGTGCACCCACCCTTTTCTCTCCTTCCCTCTATGCCCTCCCTTCCCCCTCTCCGTGCCATCAGAGCACCATCGCCCCCATCTCCTCCACTTGGCCCCTAGCAGGGGCGCCGCTGTCGGGCTGTCTAGGAGACCAGCACGCGGCCATGCTGGGGCAGCGGTGCTCACAATAGAGCCTATCGCCCCTGGGCCAGCAGTGCTCTCAGAGGCTCAGTTCAGGGGAAGGCGAAGACTCATCTATTCTGTGCCCATCCATTTCTCCTTTCTCGTCTCCCCCTTACACCTCAGAGCCCATCGCCCCCATCACCTCCTTGTGGCCACTGGCAGGGGTGCCGCTATCGGGCTGCCTTGGTGACCAGCACGCTGCTATGCTGGGGCAGCGGTGCTCTCAGGGGCAGGCCAAATCTCATCTAAACCCACCCATTCCTCCCTTCTCCCTCCCTTTCCGCAGAGCACATCGCCCCTATAGCTTCCTCGTGGCCACTGGCAGGGGTGCCGCTGTCAGGCTGCCTTGGCGACCAACACGCGGCCATGCTGGGGCAGCGGTGCTCGCAGGGGCAAGCTAAAGCCACATTCGGCACGGGGTGTTTCATGCTGCTCAACACAGGCCCGCAGGTGAGGTGAATTTTCCTCCTTTACACCTGGATAGTAATAAAAGAAAGTCATGTGCACGTGATAGGGCATTCAGGGACAAGCTAAAGCCACGTTCGGCACGGGGTGCTTCATGCTGCTCAACACAGGCCCGCAGGTGAGATGACTTTTCCTCCTTTACACCTGGATAGTAATATAAGAAAGTCATGTGCACGTGATAGGGCATTCAGGGACAAGCTAAAGCCACCATTGGCACGGGGTGCTTCATGCTGCTCAACACAGGCCCTCAGGTGGGGTTGCCCTCAGGGCTTAGGGGTAGGCTGTCTGGGCGCGCAGGCACAGGCTAAAGCCACCTTTTTGGCACGGGTGTTTCATGCTGCTTAATACAGGACTGCAGGTGAGGCCGAATTGACTCGTGCTGTCGGGACTTGGGCTGTCTGGGCGACCAACACGCGGCCATGCTGGGGCAGCGGTGCTCCCAGGGGCAGGCCAAGGCCACATTCGGCACGGGATGTATCATGCTGTTCAACACAGGGCCGCAGCTGAGGTCTACTTGTTCTTTACCATCGAAATGCTGCCATGCTGGGGCAGCGGTGCTCCCAGGGACAAGCTTAAGGCCACCTTCGGCACGGGGTGATTTATGCTGCTCAACACAGGCCCGCAGCTGAGGCTTCCTTGTTCTTTACCAGCACAATGCAATGCTGTGAATCCGAATGCGGTAGATGCTCAGGGGGAGGCCAAGGCCGCCTTTGGCTTGGGCTGCTTCATGCTGCGTTGTTCCTCTCCCCTCACCCCTGCAAATGTCTTCTTCTTTTCGTCTCTTGCCTGCACTGCTAGGTGTGCACATCTCAGCACGGCCTGCTCAGTACAGTGGCGTTCCAGCTGGGGAGACTGTTCACCCGACTCACGGCTCGCCCCTCCCTCCCTTCCGCCCTACCCAACCTGCTCCTCTGCTGGCCCTACTCCCATCAGGTGTGCACATCCCAGCATGGCCTGCTCAGTACAGTGGCGTTCCAACTGGGGAGAAAGGAAGAGGAGAGAGGAAAGGAAGTCAGAGGGGAGGCAGGCGGAGTGGGCAGCAGAAGCGGGGCAGATGCAGCAGAATGCACAGAAGAAGCTGGTACTCGCATGGGCAGGAGTGCCAGTGCCGGCAGTGGCGGCAGCAGCAGTGGCGGCAGTGGCACGTGCTACTATGCCTTGGAGGGCAGCATAGCCATAGCAGGGGCTGCGGTGCAGTGGCTGAGGGACAACCTTGGGATCATCTCCAGCACCAAGGACGTGGAGGCTCTAGCTGCCTCGGTGCCCCACACAGGGGGGGTTTACTTTGTTCCCGCCTTCAGGTGGGTGATACTGCATTCAGTTGAGTGTTGTGGGCCATCAGGTGAGTGTTATGGGCCTTCAGGTGCAGTGGCCAGTGCAGTGCCTGAGGGACAACCTCGGGATCATCTCCAATGCCTGGGATGTGAAACCCCTTGCTGCCTCGGTGCCCGATACGGGAGGGTGTACTTCGTGCCCGCATTCAGGTGAGTGCTACGGGACTCATGACCATGTTACGAGCCTTCAGGCAAAGTGGCCGGTGCAGTGCCTGAGGGACAACCTCGGGATCATCTCGAATGCTCGGGAGGTGGAATGCCTTGCTGCTTCGGTGCCTCATACAGGAGGGGTTTACTGTGTGCCGGCCTTCAGGTGAGTGCTACGGGCTTTTTGGTGGTTGGCCAGGTGAACTGGCAGGTGCAGTGGCTGAGAGACAAACTGAGGGTTGTCTCTGATGCAAGGGAGGTGGAAACAATGGCTGTCTCAGTGCCCCACACAGGAGAGGTTTAGTTTGATCCTGCGTTCAGGGTAGTGGCACGGGCTTTCAAGTGCCTGTTTTCTTCCTCCAGATGCAATTACTGACGGGCAACTTGGGGATTTATTCTGCAATCTTTTCTCTTGCCTTGTCACTCTCTTTCTTCTCCTCTCCTGCTTCACCTGTCGCAGTGGGCTGTTTGCACCTCGATGGAGAGAGGACGCGAGGGGAGTGATAGTGGGTCTGTCCCGCTTCACTACAAGAGCACACATCGCCCGGGCCGTGCTGGAAGCCATAGCGTGGCAGGTGGGTGGTGAAGGCAGGTGGGTTGTGAAGGCAGGTGGGTTGTGAGGGCAGGTGGGTTGTGAATGCAGGTGGGTTGTGAATGCAGGTGGGTTGTGAATGCAGGTGGGTTGTGAATGCAGGTGGGCTGTGAATGCAGGTGGGTTGTGAATGCAGTGGGTTGTGAATGCAGATGGGTTGTGAATGCAGATGGGTTGTGAATGCAGGTGGGTAGTGAATGCAGGTGGGTTGTGAATGCAGGTGGGTTGTGAATGCAGGTGGGTTGTGAATGCAGGTGGGTTGTGAATGCAGGTGGGTTGTGAATGCAGGTGGGTTGTGAATGCAGATGGGTTGTGAATGCAGGTGGGTTGTGAATGAAGATGGGTTGTGAATGCAGGTGGGTTTTGAATGCAGTGGGTTGTGAATGCAGGTGGGTTGTGAATGCAGATGGGTTGTGAATGCAGGTGGGTTGTGAATGCAGGTGGATTGTGAATGCAGGTGGGTTGTGAATGCAGGTGGGTTGTGAATGCAGATGGGTTGTGAATGCAGGTGGGTTGTGAATGCAGATGGGTTGTGAATGCAGGTGGGCTGTGAATGCAGGTGCGTTGTGAATGCAGGTGGGTTGTGAATGCAGGTGGGTTGTGAATGCAGGTGGTTTGTGAATGCAGGTGGGTTGTAATGTAAATGCAGGAGGGTTGTAAATGCAGGTGGGTTGTGAATGCAGGTGGGTTGTGAGGGCAGGTGAGTTGTGAATGCAGGTGGGTTGTGAGGGCAGGTGGGTTGTGAATGCAGATGGGTTGTGAATGCAGGTGGGTTGTGAATGCAGGTGGGTTGTGAATGCAGGTGGGTTGTGAATGCAGGTGGGTTGTGAATGCAGATGGGTTGTGAATGCAGGTGGGTTGTGAATGCAGATGGGTTGTGAATGCAGGTGGGTTGTGAATGCAGTGGGTTGTGAATGCAGATGGGTTGTGAATGCAGATGAGTTGTGAATGCAGGTGCGTTGTGAATGCAGGTGGGTTGTGAATGCAGGTGGGTTGTGAATGCAGGTGGGTTGTGAATGCAGATGGGTTGTGAATGCAGATGGGTTGTGAATGCAGGTCGGTTGTGAATGCAGGTGGGTTGTGAATGCAGGTGGGTTGTGAATGCAGATGGGTTGTGAATGCAGGTGGGTTGTGAATGCAGATGGGTTGTGAATGCAGGTGGGTTGTGAATGCAGGTGGATTGTGAATGCAGGTGGGTTGTGAATGCAGGTGGGTTGTGAATGCAGATGGGTTGTGAATGCAGGTGAGTTGTGAATGCAGATGGGTTGTGAATCCAGGTGGGCTGTGAATGCAGGTGCGTTGTGAATGCAGGTGGGTTGTGAATGCAGGTGGGTTGTGAATGCAGGTGGTTTGTGAATGCAGGTGGGTTGTAATGTAAATGCAGGAGGGTTGTGAATGCAGGTGGGTTGTGAATGCAGGTGGGTTGTGAGGGCAGGTGAGTTGTGAATGCAGGTGGGTTGTGAGGGCAGGTGGGTTGTGAATGCAGATGGGTTGTGAATGCAGGTCGGTTGTGAATGCAGGTGGGTTGTGAATGCAGGTGGGTTGTGAATGCAGGTGGGTTGTGAATGCAGATGGGTTGTGAATGCAGGTGGGTTGTGAATGCAGATGGGTTGTGAATGCAGGTGGGTTGTGAATGCAGTGGGTTGTGAATGCAGATGGGTTGTGAATGCAGATGAGTTGTGAATGCAGGTGCGTTGTGAATGCAGGTGGGTTGTGAATGCAGGTGGGTTGTGAATGCAGGTGGGTTGTGAATGCAGATGGGTTGTGAATGCAGATGGGTTGTGAATGCAGGTCGGTTGTGAATGCAGGCGGGTTGTGAATGCAGGTGGGTTGTGAATGCAGATGGGTTGTGAATGCAGGTGGGTTGTGAATGCAGATGGGTTGTGAATGCAGGTGGGTTGTGAATGCAGGTGGATTGTGAATGCAGGTGGGTTGTGAATGCAGGTGGGTTATGAATGCAGATGGGTTGTGAATGCAGGTGAGTTGTGAATGCAGATGGGTTGTGAATCCAGGTGGGCTGTGAATGCAGGTGCGTTGTGAATGCAGGTGGGTTGTGAATGCAGGTGGGTTGTGAATGCAGGTGGGTTGTGAATGCAGGTGGGTTGTAATGTAAATGCAGGTGGGTTGTGAATGCAGGTGGGTTGTGAATGCAGGTGGGTTGTGAGGGCAGGTGAGTTGTGAATGCAAGTGGGTTGTGAGGGCAGGTGGGTTGTGAATGCAGGTGGGTTGTGAATGCAGGTGGGTTGTGAATGCAGGTGGGTTGTGAATGCAGGTGGGTTGTAAATGCAGGTGGGTTGTGAATGCAGGTGGGTTGTGAATGCAGGTGGGTTGTGAATGCAGGTGGGTTGTGAATGCAGGTGGTTTGTGAATGCAGATGGGTTGTGAATGCAGGTGGGTTGTGAATGCAGGTGGGTTGTGAATGCAGGTGGGTTGTGAATGCAGGTGGGTTGTGAATGCAGGTGAGTTGTGAATGCAGGTGGGTTGTGAATGCAGGTGGGTTGTGAATGCAGGTGGGTTGTGAATGCAGGTGGGTTGTGAATGCAGGTGGGTTGTAAATGCAAATGGGTTGTGAATGCAGGTGGGTTGTGAATGCAGGTGGGTTGTAAATGCAGGTGGGTTGTGAATGCAGGTGGGTTTTGGATGCAGGTGGGCTGTGAATGCAGGTGGGTTGTGAATGCAGGTGGTTTGTGAATGCAGGTGGGTTGTGAATGCAGGTGGGTTGTGAATGTAGGTGGGTTATGAATGCAGGTGGGTTGAGAATGCAGGTGGGTTGTGAATGCAGGTGGGTTGTGAATGCAGATGGGTTGTGAATGCAGGTGGGTTGTGAATGCAGATGGGTTGTGAATGCAGGTGGGTTGTGAATGCAGGTGGGTTGGGAATGCAGGTGGGTTGTGAATTCAGGTGGGTTGTGAATGCAGGTGGGTTGTAAATGCAGGTGGGTTGTGAATGCAGGTGGGTTGTGAATGCAGGTGGGTTGTGAGGGCAGGTGGGTTGTGAATGCAAGTGGGTTGTGTGTGAGGGCAGGTGGGTTGTGAATGCAGGTGGGTTGTGAATGCAGGTGGGTTGTGAATGCAGATGGGTTGTGAATGCAGGTGGGTTGTAAATGCAGGTGGGTTGTGAATGCAGGTGGGTTGTGAATGCAGGTGGGTTGTGAATGCAGGTGGGTTGTGAATGCAGGTGGGTTGTGAATGCAGGTGGGTTGTGAATGCAGGTGGGTTGTGAATGCAGATGGGTTGTGAATGCAGGTGGGTTGTGAATGCAGATGGGTTGTGAATGCAGGTGGGTTGTGAATGCAGGTGGATTGTGAATGCAGGTGGGTTGTGAATGCAGGTGGGTTGTGAATGCAGATGGGTTGTGAATGCAGGTGAGTTTTGAATGCAGATGGGTTGTGAATCCAGGTGGGCTGTGAATGCAGGTGCGTTGTGAATGCAGGTGGGTTGTGAATGCAGGTGGGTTGTGAATGCAGGTGGGTTGTGAATGCAGGTTGGTTGTAATGTAAATGCAGGTGGGTTGTGAATGCAGGTGGGTTGTGAATGCAGGTGGGTTGTGAGGGCAGGTGAGTTGTGAATGCAAGTGGGTTGTGAATGCAGGTGGGTTGTAAATGCAGGTGGGTTGTGAATGCAGGTGGGTTGTGAATGCAGGTGGGTTGTGAATGCAGGTGGGTTGTGAATGCAGGTGGGTTGTGAATGCAGGTGGGTTGTGAATGCAGGTGGGTTGTGAATGCAGGTGGGTTGTGAATGCAGGTGGGTTGTAAATGCAGGTGGGTTGTGAATGCAGGTGGGTTGTGAATGCAGGTGGGTTGTGAATGCAGGTGGGTTGTGAATGCAGGTGGTTTGTGAATGCAGATGGGTTGTGAATGCAGGTGGGTTGTGAATGCAGGTGGGTTGTGAATGCAGGTGGGTTGTGAATGCAGGTGGGTTGTGAATGCAGGTGAGTTGTGAATGCAGGTGGGTTGTGAATGCAGGTGGGTTGTGAATGCAGGTGGGTTGTGAATGCAGGTGGGTTGTAAATGCAAATGGGTTGTGAATGCAGGTGGGTTGTGAATGCAGGTGGGTTGTAAATGCAGATGGGTTGTGAATGCAGGTGGGTTTTGGATGCAGGTGGGTTGTGAATGCAGGTGGGTTGTGAATGCAGGTGGTTTGTGAATGCAGGTGGGTTGTGAATGCAGATGGGTTGTGAATGCAGGTGAGTTTTGAATGCAGATGGGTTGTGAATCCAGGTGGGCTGTGAATGCAGGTGCGTTGTGAATGCAGGTGGGTTGTGAATGCAGGTGGGTTGTGAATGCAGGTGGGTTGTGAATGCAGGTGGGTTGTAATGTAAATGCAGGTGGGTTGTGAATGCAGGTGGGTTGTGAATGCAGGTGGGTTGTGAGGGCAGGTGATTTGTGAATGCAAGTGGGTTGTGAATGCAGGTGGGTTGTAAATGCAGGTGGGTTGTGAATGCAGGTGGGTTGTGAATGCAGGTGGGTTGTGAATGCAGGTGGGTTGTGAATGCAGGTGGGTTGTGAATGCAGGTGGGTTGTGAATGCAGGTGGGTTGTGAATGCAGGTGGGTTGTGAATGCAGGTGGGTTGTAAATGCAGGTGGGTTGTGAATGCAGGTGGGTTGTGAATGCAGGTGGGTTGTGAATGCAGGTGGGTTGTGAATGCAGGTGGGTTGTGAATGCAGATGGGTTGTGAATGCAGGTGGGTTGTGAATGCAGGTGGGTTGTGAATGCAGGTGGGTTGTGAATGCAGGTGGGTTGTGAATGCAGGTGAGTTGTGAATGCAGGTGGGTTGTGAATGCAGGTGGGTTGTGAATGCAGGTGGGTTGTGAATGCAGGTGGGTTGTGAATGCAGGTGGGTTGTAAATGCAAATGGGTTGTGAATGCAGGTGGGTTGTGAATGCAGGTGGGTTGTAAATGCAGATGGGTTGTAAATGCAGGTGGGTTTTGGATGCAGGTGGGTTGTGAATGCAGGTGGGTTGTGAATGCAGGTGGTTTGTGAATGCAGGTGGGTTGTGAATGCGGGTGGGTTGTGAATGTAGGTGGG